GCCTCTGCCTCCCAAGTGCTGGGATTAAAGGCGTGTGTCACCACTGCCTGGCATAAATATGTTTTTAAGTATGTTATTTTGAAATGTTTTTTTTCTAACCTGTAGGTTAGGTTTTTATCATAAAGACATCTTAGATCATTTAGAACACTAAATCACAAATAATATTTTAATTTATATGAAACAGATTTATTTTTAAGTATGCTGCTTTTGTTACTTTATATATTAAATATTTATCTAACTTACTAATGATTTTTTTCTTTTTTGTTTACTTGCTTTCTGCTTTTGGATAAAGTTTTCTGAATCTTTGTTAACAAGATTTTATGTATGCTATGAAGTGTATAACTATTTCTCTTAATTTGATAGAAATTCTTACAGAATTTTGACATACAAAATGTTTTCCTATTGTATTCAGAATGATTATTAATTTAGTCAAATTTTAATGTCTGGATTCTCTTTAATTAATCCTTGACTTAGTTCAACATTAATAAACAGTTTATTAATTGTAATCTTTATAGTATTAACAGAGGAGAGGAAAATAATTTTTATAATTAGTTGGTATGAAAATATTATTTTTAAAAGGTGCATATAAGTTTATTTTGTTTCACATAATTTGTTAAACTAGATATATACCTCTCTGTATGTGTATATAAATCTGTGTTTATACGTTGTTGTTTTTTTCTCATTTTTATGTAAAGGTGTTTATTTTTTAAATTAAGAAAAAATTTTCATTCATTTTTCATACTAATCAAAGATACCTCTTTCCCCCTCCTGCTCCCTGAGCCTCCCCCTCCTAACTCACATGTTTTAAGTAGTTGTTACCTACCTCAAGATAATCATCAAGTTTAATTTTCCTAAGTTTTCACTAGAAAGTATAAATTACTTTAATGGTATTGTGTTTTCATTTTTAATTCATTTCTCTGCCTGGCCTCCATGGTTCTTGAGTGAGTATGTTTGTACTATATTTGCTGAGACTGTGCTCTTAATTACAAGCACTGTGGACAGGTGAAGATACACATACATGAGCTCATTATGATGAATAAATATTCTCACAGTGTTCAAGAGACAAATCCTCTCAATGGAAAACATCAAACCCAGCTAACAAGTGGTTCAATGTTTACATATTATGTTTTAAATTACGAGTCATTAATAACCATGAACTAATAGCTGTAAACAAAGTTGCAAAAAGAGGTCATTTACAAGGCTGTTAATATTTGCCCTTCATGTGAGATAAGACAAATAAAAGGTTCTTTCAATGTAGCCATTAGATTGTCAAACAGAAAATCAGAATCAGCACTTTTGGGTCACTGAACCTAGTATGTCTTTTAATACAACTAGGAAGTATGGATTTAACTCTAAATGTTTAGTATTTAGGGCACTTGGGAACTTTTATGATTGTGAGAAACCTCGCGGTTTTACCATTCTTGAACACATCACTGATTTTCACAATACTAGGAAAAAGAATTCATCATTTTCATATAATTCAGGGACATCATTAATGGGCAATATTTGTTTTAGGATCTCAGTGCTGGATTGAATTTTGTCGTCTTGGAGTCATATTCTTAACACTGGCATTTGCATTATGATGTACTGTGTGGTTTTTGCCCTCCAAAAACACTCTCTTCAAGAAAAAAAAAAGCATGTAATAATAGCAAGAGAAGTATTTTCCATCATACAAATGACATAGAAGAAACCAACATACCAGCATACACACTGTAGAATAAAAACAGAATTATACTGCTTCTGTTAAACAAACAAACAAGCAAAAATGGCCAGGCAGTGGTGATACACTTTTTTAATCCCAGCACTCTGGAAGCAGAGGCCAGAGGATCTCTGTGAGTTCAAGGCCAGCCTGGTCTACAGAGCAAGTTCCAGGATAGGCTCCAAAGCTACACAAAGAAACCCGTCTTGAAAAATCCAAAATGCAAAGGAAAAAAATAAGCAGAATATAGAAGGCATTCATTGAAGTCTGTGAATTAGCAGCAATACAGTACAGGTTGTCCCTGTGACTGACAGGTAGGGCTGAGGCAGGACTGCGGGATGATGAGTGTCCAGCGGCCCCTCCTCCTGTCCACCAGAGAGAAACACACTGGGCCGGGAGTCTGGTCGAAGCAGGAACTTGCTTTATTGTATCAGGAGTGAACTTATATAGTTTGGGGTGATGGGGGAGGTGATGGGGGTGAAGACAGTGGGCCAATGAGATGATGCCATCTCAGCAGTTACTAGGCAAAGGCCGATGCTAGGTCAGGTAGTGCTGAGTCACTTATGCAGAAGTCATGTCCCAGGACAGGTCACCAAACTCGAGCTAGTCTCGGAAAGGTACACTGGACCTCATGCCTGGACCTTGTGGGGCCCATCAACAGGGGTTTTAAATGAATTAAATTTGAAGGAAAAATGTTGAAGTGACCAAATTAACCTAAATTACTGAAGACATATATGCAGCTATTGCACAGGCTGTGACTGAAGAAGGTAATGATGCTTTGTGGATTCAATAATAAATGCTGGTATAAAGACAATAATACAGTGAATCAAAGTATATATTATGATTAAAATAATGATGGATTAGTACAGACACTGGAGAGAAGCAATTTAACAGTTGAGATAATGCAAAGATCAGTCAGGTTTATCTTACTAATCAATACTTAACTCCTAAATATTTTTGTACTAAGTGCCTTATGTATAAAATTATGTATATAATCACAATAGCCTAACATTCGGTCTTATGATTTACTATCATTATTGCATTTTGCACATAAATTAACTAACTAGTGCTGAAGAACATTAACTCAATTAATTTTTGTCACATATGTTCTAATATGAACAAAAAATTCAATACTCATAGGGTTTTACTGAAATAATATCTTTGAAATAAATTTACTAAATTCTGAACAAAGTTCTTTCTGGCTTTATTAACTTTGAAGCTTCTAGTTATCATGCTCATTGATGAAAGGGGAAAATAAAATGATCATCTACAAAATGTGGAAAATACTATGTATATCTCCAGTCACACAAAAGACTTCTGTTCAGCTCATGTAAAACCTTCATAATTTGTTATCTAAAGTTGATGAGCTATAAGTGTGAGTCCGTGATAGAACAGCCTCTTTAGCAAGGGAAGCACTCAAGGACCACTCAAGCTAGGATATTGCTAAGGCACCGAGGGGGGCTTGTACATAAATATATGAAAACGTCCACATGTTAAGTAGTAGCTAAAGAAGTATTAAAACCATCTAGTTAATGGAATATTTAAGACAAAAGTAAAACTAATAGAAGCAATGTTACCAAATACTGGTTATAATAAAGATGGAGTCCCTCACACTATTTTAATGGCGCAGAAAATGATTCATGCTACTTTCCAATTCATTGGATAAATCCTTACAAAGTCAAACCCCAATCAGCAATGCGGCTTATAAAATAAAGCCATTTGACATGAAAATTTGTGCTCAAATATGTATAGGATCATTATTTAAACAAGAAAAACTGGGGACAAACTAAGGTGTCCTGACACAAGAGTCTCATTTTAAGGAAAAACTCCCATTTCTCTCTCTCTCCTGTCTTTTGCTTTCCTCCCACGTGGTGGACACCCCTCGCCCTCCTCCTTTCTCTATTTCCCTCTTTCTCCCCCCCCCCCACTACCACCAAATAAAACTCTTCACTGAGTACTGTCTGCAAGAAATCTCTGTCTCTCACCCGCCGTGGGGCACCTTGGCTCTGCCTGCCAGTACCTGATTCATACAAATTCATAACTCCTGGAAGGGAGGCTTTGCTTACAGATGGGCAAATCAGTACGTGGTGATACTGTGGAGGAACAAAATGCTTTTGTCTAATGTGGTTACACACATTCAAATAACTTCATGTATTGAGATTTAGGCAGTCACAGCTCTAAAAAAAAATAGATTACATAATTTCACAGTAAGAAGTTAAAACTTTTTTTTTGGTTTTTCGAAACAGGGTTTCTCTGTGTAGTTTTGGTGCCTGTCCTGGATCTCGCTCTGCAGACCAGGCTGGCCTCGAACTCACAGAGATCTGCCTGGCTCTGCTTCCCAAGTGAGGGTATTAAAGGCATGCACCAACATCGCCCAGCCAAGAAGTTAAAACTTTTAAGGAATTTTTTGTGTGAAAGTAAGATATTTGCACAGTAGAATACTGATCTATACTTATTTATGAAGTGTGTCTACTAAAAATAAACATGTACATTGACATATTTTTAATTCCAATGTTTAATATGTGACAAGAGTAGGAATGTTATTCTATGTTAGCTGTCACAGTTCTAAATTCAGCTTATGTGGAAATGAATTTATTTTGGAAAGAAGAACTGCACAGATGTCATTTTCCTCAAAAGCAAGCAAATAATGAATGTAAATAATGCCCTGTTTGGGTTTTGATCCTTCAGAATCACTTGAAATCTGAAATACTGTTATGCCAACATATTAAAGACCATTTTCTGCCATAAATAGAGATGAATAGACTCTTAGCCATTTATTTGTAAGTTGCTTTAATTTTCCTATTAAAAAAAATTCCTTGCAAATGAAATGACAAGTGACAAATGGAATTTTCATTTGTCAGTATCTGTGGTTACAGAGCTATTATGCTGTTTTGAAGAAATTCAATCTAAACATAAGCACTAGAATTGTGGCAAATACCCTAAGAAATTATTGTTCATAGTTCATAGTAATGAGAAATTAAAGTTGGAACACAATTGAATTAACATAACTTTTTGATGCTTCAGAGTAAAATGACAATTTGAAAACAGAAGTGTGTTCTGAGTCAAATGTTTGGTAAAATGATTAAACACAGGTATAAAACATGTACATAATTCAAGATATACATGCTGAGGGTTTATGAAAAAGTGAGGAACCATACAGCTAGTCATAAAGTTTACCTCATTGCATACCTTCATTAACCTTTTAATCACATGTGGGCCCTGGCACCCTACTGTGAGTAGCTGCTGACCTTGACCAGATGTCCTATGCTGATTCCTTCCAGGTTTCCTTCTTACTGAATGATCACCAGAGGTTCTTTGTTCCTGTATTCTGCATTTGGTGTAAACAGCTTAGATACAAGAATGTAGAACACTGGGTAGCTAACTTCTGCCCTCTGGGGATCCTCCATAGTGCTGTAAGCCTGTACTTAAGGTTTCCTCCCTCTTTCAATAAACTGCATTTGGCATTCAGCTGTGGTGAATGACTCGCTGTCTCTTGTCTCTTATTTTTTTTAATCCACAGCCCCTTGCTCTGACATGGTGAATGTGTAGCGGTAGCACGGGCGTTGCCGCAACAATCACAAATAAAAGTTTTAGAGGAAATTATCTTTGTGCTAATGTAGTTAATTGTTGAGACATCTGCTCATACTGTTCTCACTTATTCTTGTAGGTACCAATATTAGCTTGTTTTTCTTGTGATAAAGCACCACAAGCTGAAGAAACTAATGAAAAAGTAACTTATTTTTGGCATCTAGGTCCATATGGAGAGAAGTGGTGAAGGCATGACCGTGGGTGGCTGGAGAGGACATCCTCAACCACAAACTCAAAGGAGAGAGACAGAATTAGATAAGAAGTGAGAATCTAAACTCTCAAAGCCCTCCTCTAGGGAGGTACTGTTGCTGGAGGAAGACCTCTATCTCCTAAAATTTCCATAACCTCCCCAAACAGTGCCCTCAAAAAGGGATCCTGGTGCCTCTGGGGGCAGATTCACACCACCACATCATATATGTTTACACACACACACACACACACACACACACACACTGCACATAATTTTATTCAAACTTAAAAGAAAATCTCAAGGCACTCAAGCCATAACTCCCACCAGCTGACCATAGGACAGTCAAGAAGAGTGGGTGGAGAAGCCTTGGACTTCATTTTAAGCAGTGATGGAAGTTTGCCATGATGGAGTGGAAAGGTTAATGGTACAGATGTAGGGGATTCAGAAAATAATGAAATCTGAAGTGATAAGAAACTACAATTAGAAAAAAAATGACTCAGTGCTTAGGAGCAGAATCACAAAGCAATAAGAATGTTCTATATAAGACTACCACATTAATTTTTAAATTTTTATTTATTTTAAATATTTTTTAATTGAAACAATTGAATCACCCCCTCCCTTTCCTCATTCCATCATCTTCAAGCTACCCTCCCTCAAACTCCTCAGATGCCCATTTCCACCTTCAAGTTGATAGCCTTTTTTTGTTTCATTATTATTGTTATACATAATATATTATTTATGTGTGCATGTTTGTGTATGTATATTATAAATAAATGCACCCTGAGTCCATTTTGTCAGTGTTTATTTCAATCCTGAGCACACTATGTTGGACAATCATGGTGTGCTCATTAGTGGGAGAGGATTATTCTCTTAAAAATTATTAGTTGTTTGCAGATGTTTTTCTACTAGTGGGATACCATGAAATTTTCATGTCACGACAAATACTAACAAATATCACACTCAGAAATCTATGCAAAATAAATGGTTAGTTAGTGCGTTGCACAAAATGAAGATGATTTTCTATAATAAAAAACAAGTTTTATTCCATGTGAAATTCAATGAAAATTCAAACACATAAAACTTATAAAAAAGGTTATACGTCTACCAACTCAATTCTGCGTTCATTCACAAAACTAATTTTTCTTCAGCAATTACCACACAATTTACTTGGAAATGAACAGTAAATATGGAAAACTTAAATTAGTATGTTTCCCCAACTTTTATGGAAGGCACATTTGTGGATGCATATTTAGAATATTAGTGGTAACAATACTTTGTCCTGCCTCCAAATAATGCTTATTATAATACTGACATCATTGTAACCAATAACCTGAATATAGTTGGTGTCTAAATGAATCTTCAATTTCATTTAGTTTCAAAATGAGAATAAAAAATTACCTTGCAAAATAAATTGAATAAATAAGCAGTGTTACTAAGTGTAGCTAGCAGCACCAACTACATTGAACATCATGGAATATGTATATTCTAGGTTTTTTTTTTTAAATCTGATTCTGTGATTACTGCCACAACAATAATAAATCTGCGAAAGAATCAGCTTATTTCATCTTGAATATTTTATTTCATCATTGAGAGAAGCCAAGAGAAGAACTCAAGACATGTATCTGGCAGCAAGAAATGATGCAGAGAGCATGGAAAAGCACCCTTTCCCCTGCGTGCTCAGCTACTTTTATTATACATCCCAAGCCTAACTACCTTGTGAGGTCACTGCCCACAGTGGCCTAGGCCTTGTTTGATAAAGGAGCAAAACACTCAACTGACCAATTTGATAAAGGCAGTTATTCAGCTTAGATTACCTCTTCCCAGATGACTATGCTTTTCTCTCCCAAGCTTACAAACGATTAACCAGTGTAATGTACAAATAAACAAATATTTGTTGATTCTTCTAAGATGAACTTTAACCCACAAACAAACATTAAGCCAAGCATGATAGCTCACAGCTTTAACATCAGAACACGGAAGGTTGAAATGAGTGTAGGAAAATCCTGGATTGCATATAGAGGCCCGGGACACATTGAGCCAAAGTTCATGACCTCTCCCTCAACAGAGAAATATAAAAACCAGCAAATTAAATTAAGCAACATGAAACAAGTGCTGTAAATTGGCATCATATTTTAAAATAGTACCCCAAATAGTACTTGAATTTAAAACAAAGTTAAATATGAAATACGCATTGAATAATGTTTAAAAGAGAAATGAATATCCTAAGAATCTAGACTGAGTGAGTATAGGGAACAATAAGTAAAAGTACATAAGTAGAAAATTAATAAATGAAATATCTGACAGGCAAATTATAACTAAATGCAGCAAAACAAATTGAAAATTAATGTATTAAATTAGTGAAAAGAGAAGATTAACTGCAGGTATAAGCCAACATGATTGACAGGGGATTTTTTTTTTGAAAGCAATCATGAAAAGAATAATAAGTTTTGAAACCCAAAGAAAATAATTCTTCACTTAGGTTGCTCTAATCTTAAAATTGGTTTCAAGAAGGGTAAAAACGACACTGCAGGTAACCAGAAACAAGTTTTGGTATTCTATCACACAGTGGGTGGTTGTAGTTAACAATAGCATCTTTCCAAATGGCTAGAAAACAGGTTTTTAAATGTTTGAATCACAAAGAAATAACAAATGTTGAAGGTTATGAATTATGTTGCTATTTAAACTACAAGCTCTGTATATGCACTTTATAGATATTTAGAATGGTATGCCTTCAAATATAAATAAAATAAAATGTATAGTCAAATAATAAAAAAGAAAGAATATTTTCCAAAATTTTCTATATTAAAATAGTTTACATTGCTTAAGTGATATAAAATTATAATTTATAGAAAGAAGGGAAGGAGAAGGACGATATTAGTAATACTGAAAATAAAGAGATAAAGTAATAATTAATGCTTACAGGTTATACAAAAAAAGTAAAGGTGAATAGAGTTAAAGATTTTAAAATGTTATAATGTTGTAATATAAAACTAGTAAATTAATTTATTAACACTTGATTTCATAATAATCAATAAATATAAAGTCCTCTTGGATGTAGAAAAATAAAAGATACACATACATAATAATACAAATACATAATAAAAAACACAGTATCATTTATCAAATTTGCAAGTTTCATAGACATAAATAATACAATAATATTATATATAAAATTGGCTAGTGTGAATGTTATTTATAGTATACAGTAAAGAGTTTGCTTTTTATATAAGATACCAAGAGTGATCATTGGAAATACAGAACTATGAATTATCTGTAAAATATGTGATATGATTCCAGTATAACACTAACAAGGGCTTAAAATTAATGAATTAGAAGGATATTCTGAAGGAGGTGAATTCTGAGACTCTAAGTAATAGAATATTAATATAATAAAATTTGTCAGTCATTTCTTAAGCAGTACTTTGTGTTTTACATAATTAATGAAAATTTCAACATGTTTTGTTGAAGTTAATTTGATAAAATAATTTCAGCATATATATGAACCAGCAAATCTGAACTACCCTGGAGGAATCATTATAGAAAACACAGTAAACATTATAATTTTATGACCTTACATATCATTTTCATGAATTCAAAAGCAAAATAATAATAAAACTTATCACAAGAAACCTTTTAAAATATGCTTTTTTTTAGGACACCATAAATAAAAGGATCTACAAGACTTATAAGGGAGTAATTGGTAAATCAATCAGCCATAATGTAGTTTCTGAGATATTTGAACCTATTCTTTCACTGAAGCTGGAGTTGAAAGATTACATGTCCATATTCCTTAAAAACCATTCTCTAAAAAGTGTCACCTAAAATCAGCACTTCAAATGCTTTCTTTTTCTGGCCTCTGTGAGGATTTATAATTTAAGTAGTAAGTGTATCTACCTTATTTATTTTTCCTCTTCAAGACTTTGATAATCAGTAAGAAATTATATAAACTTCAGACTCAATTTTGTGAGATTTGATTAAGGTGCCCATCATAGTTCTCACCATGTTGGTGATATGATGGTCACATATTGTTGCCCAACTACAAATGAAACATATCTTCATTTCACAATTTTATTCCTGCAATGACACCATTAACTCTCAAAATGTTGTATGTCTCCTGTGATGCTAACATTAATCTCTAAATCAATCAGAGAATGTGGAAGCAACTGGAGCACCTGACTTAGCCACCATGGCATGCTATTATAATTCAACAAGAAATGCTTGCTATAGTTATAAAAAATTTGGAAATTCTTTATTAGAGCATCATATTTGCTTCTTATAGGAATCCCTGGGATCAAGACAATTATGGCAAGTAAAGTGCTCTTTCAAGCATCTAATTGTATAACAGCAAAATTATATTTTTTAAATCTGGCATTCCATAAAAAAACTTCATTTTCATAAGAAGTAAGAATCGCCAAGGAAATAACACTTGGATGTCAGTGATGTAGCATATTACAATTACTGCTCCATGCAGTTGTGGAGAGTCTGAAAAGCTTTTGTAGACTTGACAATAGCTTGTTATTATTGATTTCTAGCAAGTATTCCAAAAATAAATAAGTAGTCCTCAATTAATCCATGCTTAGAACTCAATTCTCACTCCTTA